CTAGTAAAGATAAATTCCAATGGAATCAAGAAGCGGAAGCAGCATTTGAAGCCTTGAAGACATCGTTTGTCTCTGCACCAGTCTTATATCGTGTTGACTTTTTCAAGGTATTTTTTATGGAAACAGACGCATCGGATTTTGCCTTGGGTGCAGTTTTATCACAAATGGGAACAGATGACAAACTTCATCCGATAGCTTTTCATTCAAGAAAATTCTCAGCAGCCGAGATCAATTATGAGATCCACGATAAAGAACTTCTTGCAATCGTGGATTCTTTTCAAGAATGGCATCATTATCTAGAAGGTGCTTCTAGTCCAGTCACTGTGTATACAGATCACAAGAACCTCGAGTATTTCATGTCAGCACGCGTGTTGAATCGTCGTCAAGCTCGTTGGAGTATGTCTTTGTCAAGATTCGACTTCATTATCACTTATCGGCCAGGAAAACAACAAGGTTTGTCCGATGCCCTGTCTAGACGTTCTTATTTTGCACCAAAAGAAGGAGATGCAGCTTTTGAGCAACAAAGAACGATCCTCTTGAAACCGGAGCAATTTCATCTCCGAGCAGTGAAATCAACACTGACTGTTGATTCAACTTTTCTCAAGCAAATCCAGTCCAGTATGTCCTCAGACCCTCTTGTTCATGATATCGAGAATAATTCTTCCAAGTCTCATGATTCTTCTAAGTTCGAGTTCAAGAATAATCTATTATATTTTGAAGGACGCCTATATGTTCCAGAAGGAAAAGCACGTTTGCGTGTTCTTCAAGCACGTCATGACTTTCCAGCAGCAGGTCACTTTGGATATAATAAGACTCTGGAACTCATATCAAGAGATTTTTGGTGGCCACAAATGTGGAAGTCAGTCAAAGACTTTGTACAATCATGTGATATTTGTTCAAGATCAAAAATTCCTCGTCATCGACCTTACGGACTTCTTCAGCCATTACTTATACCAGAACAACCATGGTCTTCTGTTTCTATGGATTTCATCACAGATCTTCCAAACTCAAGATCTTATGATTCTATATTTGTGATAGTAGATCGTTTCACCAAGATGGCACATTTTATGCCATGTACAAAATCTATCACAGGTGAAGAAACAGCTAAGCTTTTCATTGATAATATCTATCGCTATCATGGATTACCTAAAGATATCATATCGGATAGGGGAACTCAATTTGTGTCGAGATTCTGGAGGACTCTTTTCAAGATTTTAAAAGTGGACATAAAGCTATCTTCAGCTTTCCATCCTCAAACTGATGGACAAACAGAGCGCGTAAACCAAGTCTTGGAACAGTATTTAAGGTGTACCATCAACTACCAACAAGATGATTGGACAATCCTTCTGCCATTGGCAGAGTTTTCTTATAATAATACAGTACATTCTTCCACGCAACAAACACCTTTCTTTGCCAATTATGGCTATCATCCACGACTTGATACTTTTGATTTTTCAAAAGTTGATAATCCTGCAGCAGAAGATATGGCAAATCGGTTGTCAGAGTTACATGCAATAATGAAGGCGCAGTTGAAGAAAGCTCAAGAACGACAAAAGATAAATGCAGATGTATATCGTAAAGAGCAACCACAACTCAACGTGGGTGATAAGGTATGGCTACTTCGTCGCAATATCAAGACCACTCGACCTTGTGACAAATTGGACTATCGTAGGCTTGGCCCCTTTTCTGTTTCTGAACAGATCAACCCAGTTGCATATCGGTTACATCTACCGGAGTCAATGAAGATCCATCCTGTATTCCACGTGTCTCTTCTTGAACCATATAAGACAGTGGATATACAAAGAAGAAGACAAATGCCACCGCCTCCTATAGAAGTAGATAATAATGAAGAATTTGAGGTGGAAGAGATATTAGACTCAAGGCGGCGCCGAAATAAGCTGGAATATCTTGTTCATTGGCGCGGATATGATATTAGTGAGCGCACATGGGAGCCATCCAGGAATCTAGCAAATGCATCAGCTAAAGTCAAAGTTTTTCATCAACGACATCCATCAAAACCAAGATGAAAATCTCTCTTATAAAAGAGACAAGATTGAGGCAAGATAACATTCAATTTCCTATCCTTGTTTGTAACTTCTTTACATTTGTGACGCTAATTAGATGGAGAGCCAACAACCAGCGGATTCAACTCAAGAACCTTCGTTTGCTGACCTGCCAGACAAGACATTACGATTGTCACAACCTTCAAGACGACGCAATCGAGATGAAGATCTTCAAGAACGACATGTTCTTCCTCGAACAGATGGTGAGATACAACGCGTTTGGTATCACGACCTTGGAAGAGATTGTCGATGTTTGGTTATATTATTGGAGATAGGAACGACTCCTGATGGTGTTTCAAATGTATTATTTGAAGGAAGTTATGAAGGCCTCAACAGTGATCAAATAACAAGGTGTTCTTCTCGCCCTAGAATGGGACACTATCGATGGCTAAGAGGACCCATCAACTATCTTCGAAGAGAACAAAGATCAGAGTATGTAGCAAATACAATTCGCCGCATATTAGATTTTCTCAATATATAATCACCGCTCCTCGTGGAACTCGTCCCTAGAAGGGGGGGTAATGTCACGGACATACATATAATTACCTATATGAATAGATAAAAGTATGTAAAAGTAGATAAAAGTAGGTTAATTGTGTAATATCTTCTAGAGAAGCTTCTTAGAAGCTTTATAGACGCTGCTTTGACTTTATAGGAGTCTATAGTTGACTTTTAGGCTAGAAACTTGGTCAACAAGTTAGCCATGTGCCACACATGTTGGAAGCTTAAAGAACAAGCTAACTACGTGGTCCATCCATAGAAAACTTGCCTTGTAAGCAAAGGCATGTGGCCTAGAAAGTCAACATATATTAGAGGTCTTATAGAACATTGCCATGTGGCTTCTAGTTAGATAGTATATATAGAGGCAAGAGTGAAGCCCTCTTCACTCTTGTCAACTCCTTTCTTGCTTCTAGTCTAGTTTCAAGGGTCTCTAGTTTTCTTGTATTTTGGCAATAGCCATTCTAATTTCTTTCTTAATATACATATTTCTATTTTGTCGTATTTCTTTGAGAAAAGTCTCACTTACTCTTTAGCTTTCATCGAGTTCTTGTCCTTGACAGGCGGGCGGTGGCGGTCAACAGCGGGCAACGATGGGCGGCAGTGGCATTAAGGCGGCAGCGTCAACGACGACAAGGTGGCAGTGGCGGCAGTGGCGGGTTTGGTGGTAGCTCAGCGGCAGTTTGGCGACAGCAGGGGCGGGGCGTAGCAGGGAGTAAGGAGCAAGCTGGGGTGGAGTTGGGTTAGATCAAGTATTCTAAGCAAGTAGAGCAGAGAGTGGAACAAGTGCTCTAAGCAAGCTAATGTGTGAGGGGTGAGTAAGAAGAACAAGATCATGAGGCAGATACTAAGAAAGGATAGCAACACGTTTGAAGAATCAAAGACTAGAGCAAAAAATTGTGATAGTGTGTAGAAGAGAGTCGTGTTGATAACATGTTGAGAATGTTTAGAAAGACACAAGAGTAATAGTAAGTCATACACACATACAAGAGTAGTAGTAAGTCATACACATAAGAGGGTTTCTAAGGAGAGAGCTTCACACACACAAATCTATTGATCTGGTTGTGTCTCGTATACAAGAAGAGAAAAGAAGAGAGGATAAACAATACTTCTCCACTAGACTCTAAATATTGTAGCTATGGTAATTACTGTAGTCTACAATAAATATTATGAAGAACGTCTGCTACATTTAATGATCTCAACATGGACAAACGAGAGAACCTGTATTTTTTTGGTGCTGGTACCCTTGTGAATTTTCTGTTCATCCAGTACAAGGTACGAGCTGGGCACCTATTCCTCTGCTGCCGTCACCCACTGCAGAGGAACGTTCACATTACCAAGCTCAGTTTAGAATGCTCTACCATTTTCCGTGAGTCTGCACTCAACCGCACGCACAGATGAATTTTGGAGTCCTGCTTCGCTATAAATTGAGTCTGCGGTGTTTTCCGGCCAGTTGAGATAAAACCGTAACCTGTAGTGGTCGCAAATTTGTGAAGGATTCACATATCTATAATCAAGAGTTTGATTCTTCTAGCGGTGGACCAAAGTCATTCCCGATCATATCAGCTAAGAATCTGCTTCATGATGGAAATCATGGATGGCAATCTTAACTCTCACCCCAGCAGCTCGCCTTCGAATTCTAGCATTGGAAGTCTAAGAATCTGTGCTTATGCTTTTATTTGACACCTGCTTTTATTTCTCCTCTAGACTGCTTTATGTAGATCTAGTATGTCGATGAGGCCTGCGACAATATCTGATGGAATCCATTTTAGACAAGCTTGCGGTGAGCCGAATTCGGTGTTGAATCCAATGTTTCACACAAGATGTGTTTCGATGAGGTTTTCAGCGTCACTGATGAATATCAAAGCTGTGTGTCTTGCATGAAACCTCTGATCATACTCTATTTAGAAGTATTAAGTCGCGGCAGGATAGAAATTGAATGAATTGGAAATCATGGAACGTGACGCCCACTGGTTCAGAATGCAAGAGATAACTAAGGATCTTAATACATGTGGGACAAGTTAAGCGTTGGCTATTCGATGGACAAATATGACGGAGTATAATGACTCCACACGGCAACAGTGGACTGGGAAGCATATTTCAGAACTATAATTTCGGTGAAGCTATAATCGTACCCAAATCTCTTAAATGGGTTCAATCAACCCCCCCATCTGTATTTAACTAAATACAAGCTTTTACCATCAACGAGTTATGCTACCTATCTTAAATCGCAAATCCTCTTAATACCCAAAACTTCTGAAACCATAGTTGCTTAACTGTGCATATCTAGTCAGGTCAAGAGAACCGAGAAATTTCTGTGAATACTCCAACGTGAAGTACAGGCAGAGCATGTACAGTTCACCCTAATCCAACGCAAATGTAGAATGTATCTTCGATCGTTTTCTCAAACAATGTAGACACCATCTTCGCTCGCACAGATAACAATAACACTAATAGCATACACTCAATTCATTACTCAATTATTTATACATTGAAACAACATACTTAGCAAAGGACTGCTGCAATTCTGACTAGCTATGTTATCCGTAATTCTCAGTATAGATCGCATTTGACCCATTCGAGCACCAATCTTGGACTACCGATATACCTCTTCAAAACTTTCGACTAGGAAGAAATTCCTGTGCAGGGTTTATTTCAAATTCAGAACTCTCCTGATAATGTGAGCTCCATAAAGCTTGAAAATGGAGCGAAACGCATCAAAAGACATAGCCAAAGAAACTGCTAGCACGGGAACAATGAGTCCTGAGCTCCCTACACCCATACCTCTGTCCTACACGGGTGAATACAACCACCACTCACAGCATTCGAATCCTCTTCAGCATTTCGGCAAATTGATTCCTATCACTCACATGATACAAGCGTCGCGGTTAGCCGGCCTCCAGTTTAGTCATCGTCCTTGTACTCTCGGCGGTCGAGGTATCGGGGCTGGATGCCACTGCCCTGACAGGTAGTGCACGTCAAGGCGCCAGATCCCTCACAATTTATGCACTTCGAAACCTCTCGCTCACCACCACCAAGCTCCACTGTGATGTTGCCAGCACCCACGCAGAACCGACAGACCTGGGAGCCGGTTCCCTTGCATGGAAAACAAGGCTGGTCATTCTCTCGACCCTCGGATCCTTTAACCTGCGACTCGTAGAAGATTGGCACTCCGATTCCCACTGCTAATCCCGCAACACCAACGCTAATAGCCAATAACGTATCCTGGTCGAGCTCCAACGCGCGCACCACAAATGCACCGTTATCCCTAGCTGCCCCATTCGCCAATTTCACTCCACATTTGCTGAAATTTTCTCCCAAGGGTGGTAAGAAGCAAGTCCTCAGAGAGGGCTTCACGGCTGTAGCAGCAACTGCAGGCAACGGCTTCGCCCCGCAAGGGCACAGGCATGCGAGAGACGACGCCATAGCTGCAGGAGCAGCTGGCCAAGGTGGGCTATGACTAGTGACTTCCCTTCGCAACTGGTCTCTCGCGGCCACAGGCTCAGCTTCCTCCCCTCGGATAAGGGCCCCGAGGCCCTTATCCGTCCTCCTGGTGCTGGTGTGGGTTCCAGTTGTACGTTGCCATGTGTCAATTTTTTGATTGTGGGTACTTATCTCCTTTCTCAGTTGAGACTCCCATCTCCACAATTTGACGATGTCTGGATGACAAATTCTAGCACAACTTGCAATGGGGTTTTGCTGGACTGTATGTGTCCCCTTTCTGAAAACAAATGCATTTCCTGTGTCCAGTGTCGACTTATACAACACAACAAGGAGTCAAATCTACAATGTAAAATAAAAGAGAGCATGGATTATCTCAAAAATTATAGGTCAAATATACAAGTGCTTTTTACTATCATGGCAAAACTACTCTTCAATGCAAGTCTCTTCCACAGCCTGAATCAATACCGAAGAGACCCTTGAAGTGTGTCTATTGAAAATGTAATTCTTACATGCCAATCCAAACTGAGCCAGACCTAACAAATAAATTCTCTGCAAATGTGCCAAGATCTTGCAGCTAGTCAATAAAATGATAAGTATGGGTCTGGTACAAGTTTTGACCAAACTTTGTTTAAGCAATAACTTGAAACTAGTGCATGCCTTTGCATTCTGACATAGTAAAAATCCTCTTTATGCAATAATTCAATTTGCACACTTATTGACCTAATCATCAATCAACATTCAAAGCTTTTACAACTAACTATTGGTACATATTGCATTACTGATTTAAAGCTATTGTTACAGTAATCGTTGTTGTATCATATATAATGAGCTCCTATATAATATCTACACATATAAATACTTTTTCATCAAACTTGAGTTTTTTCTTTTAACACTTAGTGAAGGTTCTTAACCAACTTATCATAAAATAACAATATATTGTAGCCTTTGTCAATAAATGCACAAAATAATATTATTTTTATCTGTTAAAAAATACATCTAGTATGCACTATCTTTAACAAATAATAGATATAAAAAGTTTAATTACAACTCTTGAAAATAAATTTAAAAATAAGAAAAAATTTCTCAATAACCAAATTTTTTTGCATACCAAAAAAAAACCTCAAACATTTTATTTAAAAAATTAAATGAAACTAAAAAGTAATACTTTATACAAAAATAAATAAAATCAAAAAATTATATTTGAATTTGAGATTATTTTGTTGAATCTATCTAATAATTAAGTATTAGAATATTTGGACAATTAATCATTATGTACTTTTGATGATTCATTTTTGTCAATAGTAATTTCAAAAATATTTTATCTTAATATTTTTAATTATTATAAAATATTTTTAAAATATTTTATTTTTTAAATTAAATTTTATTAACTATATAACTAATATAAGTCTATTTTTTCTCTTGAATAAATAATATATCTAAATAATAAATTACTTACAGATGCCATGTATAAATATAAAAATTTGACCAAATCTTTTTTTTTTTCTCTTCTTCTAACTTCTATTTTTTGAATTTTTTAAGTTTAGTAAAAATATAATTGAGATTATTATAGTGCTATCTTTATCCACCTATATAATTGGTCAGAAAATAAATATTCCTAAGTATAAAACCATAGGTATCCTTAACATATTTTTTTATTATTTTTTATTGAATATTTTACAAACAATAAAAATCAGGTTTTAATTGATTTTATTCATATCAATTAGTATTTAAATACTTAGGCCAAAAAAAAATCCTTAATTTGACATTCTTATCAAGTCAAATCTTATGACTTATTTTGAAAATGAAAGAACTTATTGTAAGAAATTTGTAATTTTCTTGGCTATGGTGATTTAGCAATTTTACTAAAGCTTTAGGATTTTTCATATTTTCACACTTGTACTCTTGGATTTCCACTTTGTGGTATGAAAGATAGCTTGACTTAGTTTGGTATAGATTTTTAATCTTTTACTTTACAAGAATGTCTCATTTTCTTCAATTTGTAGTATGGCAAACTTTGTGGTTTTGCTCTTCACCAATGAAATACTACTATATGCCAACATGGCCTTTAATTACTAATTTGTTGAAGAAACAACTCTTATATCCTCAACATCCTTACTTCTAGCCAAATGAGGGACTTCATTACTAGAATATTTGTGTGAATTAAAAATATTAATAGAACATAGAGTGTTTTCTAAAAACAAATCTTGTAAGATAATCTCTTGAGGATTTGTTTTCTCAAAGTCTTAAGCTAAAACTGCTAAGATATATTGAGCTTATAGCTCATCAACTACATGTCTCTGTAAGCAAATAAATGACTCAAATTCTTCAACCTTAGTAAGTTCAGGATCTATTGTTCCATGACCATTGTTTTCTTACCTTAGAGTACTAATACAGTCATAAAAATACTTTTGAGTAGTAAGACATATGCCAAAAATCCATATTAAAGTCCATAGACTGACCTAAGAGACAATGATGTTGTTCTTCAGTGAAATCATAAGCAATTGTGGTGCTAATTAAAAAGCCCATGGCATGCTTCCTTTTATTGATATTAGGTTCTTCATAAGTTTATGAATTGATATTTCAAATCATATCAAGTCAATAGGCTGAAAATGCAAATGATATTGGAAATATTACAAATATAAGAAATGTGCCATGAAGTACCTCCATCTTATTAAGCAAGGCAAGAAGAGGTTCATCAACCTTAGTAACAACTAAGAAATTTGATTATCATCCAAGATATCATCAATATGGCATTTAAGAGATTGTTTAATTCTAATAAATAATTATTTAAGCATATAAAACAATGTCAAGTTGGTCCAAATTAAATGAAGTCAATGGATATAAGAATCTAAAGCTCCAACATCCACAAAGGTTGAAGGACCAAGTTTTATTTGGCTTGTCATTTGTTACATGCTACACTAATGATGTTATCATTTTTAGTATCACCATTCAAGATTATGTGATGTATTTACAAGTAGTATTTAAAAATTATGACAATGGAGATTATGCTTGTATCATAAAAAGTGTAAATTCTTTCATGAATGGTTACTATAATTAGATCACACAATTATCACAGGAGGTCTTGGCATACAACAAGCAAATGTAAATGCCTTGCAAAAAATCTTGATACCAAATAATATTCCATGACTTTGAGCTTTTTTAGAGTTGAAAAAATACTATCAAAGGTTTGTTAAAATTTTAGCATCATTACAAAGCCTTTAACTATTTTTAGAAGTAAAGATCAACTATGGACTTGGAGCTATAAATAATAATATGTATTCAATATATTTAAGCAAAAATTGGGTTTAATTCTAGTATTTTGATGTCCAAATGTTAATAGACCTTTTCAACTATATTTAAATTAGAATGTAATAGGATTGGAAGTAGTCTTGGCATAAAAAGATGATGTAGAATAAGAATATATTATTTCATTTGCTTCTAGAAGTAATAACAATAGAAAGTCAAATTACTCATCTTATGAAGCAAAAGCTTTGGCAATAGTTTAGGCCATTCCTTACTTCTATGATCAATGCTTTATATTAGTAATTGACCATAAACTTTTGAAGTAGCTTATGGAATTAGAGAAGCTTACTAACAAGCTTGCAATTTGGGCTTTGTTGCTTCAAGAATACAACTTTGAGGTTGTGTATTGAGCGGGCATTACCAATTTCGATGCCAATGGACTTTCTTGTAATCCATGTCCTTTGAAAGAAGACTTAATTGGAGCTTGATGGCATAGCAATTGTAATCGAGAGATAGTTCTTGGATAGCATGTAGCCACATACTTGACTTTAATATTAGATTTTATAACCATGGTTCTTGATTAGAATTCATATGCTCAATTTGACAAGAATCAAATAATTAACAATGTGTGGAAAGTTCTTACAATCTTATATGAGCTTCAAGAAGGAACATTTCCTTCAACTATCTCTAATATGAAAAGAGATAGAATTAGTTACTGAATAATAAGATTTTATTGAGAGAACAATTTGTTACTTTCAATATGGCCTGATGGAGCTAGGTACATAGTTCCAAGACCTAATCAAAGAGCATGTATTGTATGGTAAGTATATGAGGAGCTTGGACATTTTAAGATGTGCAAGTCACATTTTTTATTGTGCAATTAATATTGGTGGATTAGTATGTATCAATAA